TGGGAGTGATGCCCCAAGGGCACCAACATTGAGCAAGGAAGTCCAGTCCATTACAGTGTTTGGTGCCAACATACTCAAGGATGGAGCAGATACAAAAATCTTGCTAGATTCTGAATACTCTAACTGGCTGTGGCATCTGCTTGATAAACGCTTTGCAACTTGCATTGAGTGAACTACGAAGGAAGAACATTGAAACCCTCCCTTATGAAGATCTGAAATTTTTTGTGAGGCTGGATAACCGAGCCAGGATTAAGAAAGCATTCCATTAAGGCCAAAAGCTGATTTAGAAATTATCAGTATGTAAGAGGCATTATTTCTTTGCCAAGCCAATTATGCACTTTCCTCCTGGGATACCTTTGAACTGAGAAATGATGGAATTGAAAACCAGAGACTTGGGATACAGCTTTGAGCTTGTCTCTGTAGCTCCAAACTCACTTTTTCTCATCTATCATGGGAAAATTCTTTTCATTCATTATTCTGCTGTCCCTTCTGTCTTTCATTCTTGAACTTTAGTTGCTGTTTATTATAAGACATAATGTGAAATGATGATAAAGTTGATTCTTGTTGTTTCACTGTTGCAGAACACCGGTATTATTTTTCTCCATCACAATAATGCTATGGCCAAAAGAATGAAAAGGAGATAAAGATTACAATAAAAATAAATTTTTATTTTTCTTTCTGGGTTCTACACCTGTATTTTCGGTATGGTTTTACATACCTTGGAGATTAGGATCTCTTTCTGTCATATATTTTGCAAAGTGAAATGAGAACTGATTATCTTCTGCTTGTGTTAGAGTTTTGTCAAAGCGGCATCAGACTTTGTGGATTTAATTCTTGGTTCTGAGTGTTAAAAAAAAAAAATTCTTGGTTCTGAAGGCGACTTCTTGTTGGATGAAAATGGTATTTAATATGCTAAAGAAAATAATGTTGCATATGTAATGACAATCTTCTTGACAAGATTCAGTTGGACCCGAAGGGTTGATGTTGCCATTGTGAAGTGGAAGCCACCTCTTCCTGCCTCCCTTACCCAAAATTACAATGGTGGGGTTCAAAGCCAACCCATCTTTAGCACTGAAAGGGACATGCTTTTTCCCTTTCCTTCCATATGTCAAGGACCCTGGGGGTCCATCTATTCCCCCAGTAGGCATTTGCTCCTATTTGATATTTGTTGTGGTACTTTTCTGTTGAAAAGTAATTTTTTGTGCATGAATGAGAAAGATCTTGTAGATATACTGGCACAGTTTTCATGTATAGCATTTATATTCACATTTTTCAAAGTAGAGTGGTCCAAATTTCTTTTGTTTGGCTTCGAGTTGCGTGGGATTCTAAAGTAGCTGGAGAGCACAAAATAAAGCTCAATTCACCTCATTCGTATAGTTAAAGATAAGGCATCCACAAAAAAACTAGAAGTTTACGAGGAATTCCAATCTCTTGTTCCATTTTTGTCTATCTAGTCGTCTGAGAAGATAGCCAGTCATTATGTCTTAGATGGTCAATCTGGCCAAACTCATTCTTATCATGGAGCACCATTACTTACACTTCAAATTTTATTTATGTTTTTGAGCCTGACTTGTGTCTTGCAATTGAGATAGTCATGCTTTTTTCTTAATGCCCATGTGAAAGATCAGCTTCATGACTCCCAATAGACCAAGAGAAAGGGACATATCATCAGGGGAGCACAATTTCAAGAAGAGAAAAAAGATGGGAAACATGAAAATGATAGAAGAGGGAACTGAAATTTGACATAACATGCAATATTATTGTTTGGTCTGCAGGTAAGGCAACCCATCTTCTATACAACCTTTTTTGAATGCCTTAGCACTCAAAAAAAGTTAAAAGCTGCCTTCCACATGGCCTCCTTTGCTTTTTATAGCTGTGTGATCCATCCATGCCTATGGAGCATTCTGATTTCTGGGTTCCTAAGAGCCAAGATAACACAGCTCACCAGAATCTTGATTAAAATCCTTGCCCTCAATTGTTCAAGCCTAATAAAGTAACAAACCTAATCCACCAACTAGGGAGTTTTTCTATTGTTAGAGAATATAGATTAGTACCAATTTACACCAGTCTATGTTCTGTGAAATTGATTGATTTGATTCTTAATTTGAGGTTCTGGAAAAAGCCTTCGCATAGGAATAAACATGTAAAATCAAGCAAACGTATAAAGATAAGGATCACATCACATCCAATTACCTCTGCTGATGGAGTGTGATAAGGAGTAATCCAAAAGTCCTTGAAATTCCATATTCTTTCCTTTTTCTTTCTTATAATTTGAAGAAGAATAGAAAACAATTGGGAAGATAAGACCAAGGTACAGTCCCTTTTTTTTTTTAGGTTTTTTGCCTTGATCCCATTAGAGGACCCTATCACCCTGATGGTGTTAACCCCACAGAGTTAGACATGAACATGGCCTCATTAACATAAACTGGTGGGTGGATGGGCTGAATGCACATTTATGTATGCTTTAGATGAAACTAAAGATAAGATCAAGTCAAAAGATAAATGTGGTATGCTGATATTACAGACGCTACCCACCCCTCCAAACCTTTCTTTGAAGCTACCCACCCTGCTGTAAGTACTGGACCCTGAAACTTCGCTGTCAACAATTAGAGAAAAATTAATGAAATTTAGGGCTGAGTTATTTTTTGATTTATATATAAGTAATCACATTAATTTGTTTTGCTTGCATTAGAAGTTCCTTAAATCATTCAACCTTTACATCAACATCATTGAAAGAGAAGGCCCACTGATGCACTGCTGGTGTGCTTGATTCCCCATCAAGTGGAGTTATAAATATCTTTTTTCAGCTATGTCTTGGAAGATTACCTAATTATTTATAAGGTCTCTTTCTCTACTCTTAAATCTCAAGTCTTTTTTTATTGTGGTTAGATTATAAACAGGTTAGGAAGTAATTTCTTATAAATATTCTAATCAAGATTTTAAACTGTGTAAAATTTATTTAATCACAATCTTAGACTATCTTTACATTAAACTAACAAAATAAACTCAATTTGATATGTGCAAGTTGTTTTTGAGTAACATCTAAACTGATTCTTAATAACATATAAGGCTAAAATAATAATCTGCCTCGCCATAGCAATACTATCATTGTCCTAATTACCTTATCCACAGTAAGATGACATCTTCCCCCAGTTTCTACTATTGGATACAGATTATTAGAGAGGTACAAGCTATTAGAACAAATCCTGTTCAAGAAAGGTGGTGCATGCCCACCTCTCCTCATTCCAAGAAAAAGTAGTAACCATAACCTCTCCCTCTGTTCCATCCATATGCAACCATCATTAACTATCACAGTGAAAGAGGAATCTCACCTTATCATATATTTCACTGTTCTAATACTTTTCCTTGTCCCAATTTTCTCACTTCTTTTTTTTTTTTATATTTGAACAGTATGAAATCTTTCTTTTGGGGGAAGGGGGACAGGTACTTAGGATTGAAACTCAAGTTCTTTTAGTTCTACGTACGTCCCTGCAATGAGATGACTATTAAGTTACCGAGTGCGGGAGGTGACCATTAAGCTACCGAGTGTGGGACGTCTCAATTTTCTCACTTGATCTCCCCTTTGAACCAATCTAATATATTTTTCTTCAACATCTTCTGTTTGATTTCTGGCATTATTTTCTGTCTTGTCCTTTCGTGAGATTAATGATTGTTTTCCCTTTACCCATATCTTCCACCAGTAGTTGATATTATTAAGCATTTTTATCTTCTTTTAGCATCAATCAAAGCCATTAAAAATCATTTATTTGCACATGATGTGTCATGTTTGATTTTATCTTAAAAGAGTTATAATGGGTCTATTGAAGGTGCAGGTAGTTCAACTGCTTGAATTATTATGCGTTTTTTGGCACATCATATAATGTATCATATAATAAAAAATAATTTTTTTCTCGTAAGTTTTTTTTTGTCCATTTTAAAATATAAAGACTCAAATTTTTATTTATTGAGCATCCCTAAATGACTTGAATTATTATAAGTTACTTTTATATTACTCGATAATTAAATTATGTTAGTGATTTTCAAAATAAGTGAAGAGTAATATAGTAATTAATAAATTACAATTCTTTGAATAATCTTATTTATTTGTAAAATCATAACTCTTGTATAAAAACATGTACATTTGAAAAAGCACCTTTTTACCTGGTCAAAACTTTGCAAAGCAACCTTTCATCTTTTACTCATCTCATTTACTCTTTTGCACATTAAAATTTTCTACCTGCTTATAAGCTCCACACTAATTTTTTAAACAAAGTCACCTTGTATATACTCTGCTTTTCTGGTGACCCTAAAGGAAAGCGACAATGAAGTCATTTTGCTTTCCTAGTTATTTTGTTTTTTGGCATTGAATTCTGATGGGCTCTTTCTTAAATTTATTCAGAGGGTTTGTTAATCAGTAAAGTACTTTTCCTCATTATATTTCTCTTCTGGGTTGCTGAATACTGAGCAAAAAGTATCAAACTTTCCTTCAAAATTGCACTACCATTTGCTAATTTTTCTGTTTGTTTCTTGGGAAATCCATTTTTTTTTTCCCACCATAATCTGTTTCTTCCTTATTGCACGACGGTAGTGTGTTTTTTCTTATCTGGATACTTATGCCTCCCGCATATTTTCCTCTCCGGTGGGAAAGCACCGGAGACCAATGGTGGTATGCTTCCCCTGTTGACTGGGCCACCGCCAATGGCCACTACGACTTGGTCCGAGAGCTTCTCCGCATAGACGGCAATCACCTCATCAAACTCACCTCCCTTCGACGGATCCGCCGTCTCGAGACTGTCTGGGACGATGAAGAGCAGTTCGATGATGTGGCCAAATGTCGCTCACAAGTTGCTCGACAATTGTTCCATGAGTGTGAGTCAAAGAAAGGAAAGAATTCCCTCATCAGAGCTGGATACGGCGGGTGGTTGATGTACACCGCCGCCTCTGCTGGTGACTTGGGCTTCGTTAGACTTCTTCTTGAAAGAAACCCTTTACTGGTTTTTGGAGAAGGAGAGTATGGTGTTACTGATATTCTCTATGCTGCTGCCAGGGGTAAGAACTCTCAGGTTTTCAGGCTCATTTATGATTTTGCAGTCTCCCCAAGGTTTTTAACGTCCAAAGGAGAAGGGTTTGAGGAGCACATTGGGGACATTCCGGCTGTTTATAAGTGGGAGATGATGAACAGAGCTCTTCATGCTGCTGCTAGAGGAGGAAATTTGATGGTTTTGAACGAGCTTCTCAGTGACTGTACAGATGTTTTGGCTTACAGAGATAAGCATGGTTCCACCATATTACATGCAGCTGCTGCAAAAGGGCAGGCTGAGGTGAGAATCCTATGTCAGAACTATTATTTGCTAATGCTTAAATTTTGATTTTTTTTTTTTTGGCTGTTCTGCCATTCACTTATTCTTTGGTTGGACAGATTGCTTGTTTGTGTTTTTATTTGCTTAACTTTACATCATATTAACCTTATGGAAGACTAAGTTTGAGCCTTCAAGGCAAGCAAACTGGCATGGAGTTTAAATTCTAGGATAAACTTTAGAAGAAGTTCTTGTCTAGGATATTATCAGATGTTTTAGGATTTGTTGTTCTTGTTGATTGAATTTAAAGGAAATTCTTTTCCCTGCGTCATAGTGCACAAATTGCTCCGAGAAATATGGTTTGCGTCCTTAGTACTTATCTTGTCTTTGCAGGCTGTTAAATATCTTCTAGCATCTTTTGATATTGCCAGCTCGAGAGACCATCAAGGCAACACTGCGTTGCATACTGCTGCCTATCGGGGACAAGCAGCGGTTGTTGAGGCTTTGATTATTGCTTGTCCTTCGTTGGTCTCTGTAAGAAACAATGCTGGAGAAACTTTTCTCCACACAGCAGTTTCTGGTTTCCAAAATCCTGCATTTAAAAGAGTGGACCGACAGACTCAACTTATGAAGCAACTGGTATGTGAAAAAAACTTTAAGATTGAAGATATTATTAATGCTAAGAATAATGATGGAAGGACTGCTCTTCACATGGCCATCATTGGGAATATTCACACTGACCTAGTTGAACTCCTGATGTCTGCTCAATCAATCAATGTGAATGTTCGTGACACGAATGGAATGACTCCACTTGATCTCCTTAGACAGCATCCTCACACTACATCATCAGATAAACTTATCAGACAGTTGATTTCTGCTGGGGGAATATTTGGTTATCAGGACCATAATGCAAGAAGAGCAATTGCTTCCCATTTAAAGATGCAAGGCAGTGGAAACAGTCCTGGGACTTCTTTCAGGATATCCGATGCTGAAATTTTCCTATATACAAGAGTTGAGACAATATCAGATGCCAGTCCTGGTGATCCAGGAATTGTATCACTGGGTTCATCTTCACCAGAAATAAGTCAAATTGAATCTACCATTGAGAATCAAATCTCATCAGTTGATAAGAAACCATGTTCCAAGAATAACACAGCACAGAAAATAAAAAGTGTCCTCCACTGGCCCCAGCTGAAAGAGACAAGGACTAAAAGGGTTCAGAAACAGGTAGATGGGAATTCTGAGCAATCACAGAAAAAAGGGAAGAGTTCTAATGGAGCTCCAATCCCACTGAGGCAGAGATTTGCAAAGCCTCCATTACCTTCCAACAACAAAAGGACACTTTCCATGAGGAGTAATCAGTCTAGCCCAATTGCAAAGAAGAAGCTTGCCTCAGGGTTAATGCGTGGGGTTCTGCAGGCCATGCCACATTTAACCACTCGCAGCCGGTCTCGTTCAAGTTCATTCTCAAAGTCATCCATTTCTTCTCCAAGTTCATTGGATAAACAAAAGGGTGTCTTTACTGAGACTGATTTTGCAGGACCATCTTGCTCCAACCAAGTGCATGATGATGGAAAAGCAAATACAGCCAGCTTCAGAAAATCATTCAAGAGCCAGTATTTCTGTTTTGGTGGTTCAGGATTGTCTGTGAAAATCCCAGTTAGCCGGCAGAGGCAGAACCAGAGTGTTGCTAGTCCTCCTATTGCCCTGATGGCATGAATGACTGGGGATAACAAGAGCTGGACTTATCAATGAATTCACAATGTGAGACAGAAGGGCAAAAAGTACTGACATGGAAGCGCCACCAAATTCTGTAATATTCTGTCTTTTTAATATGTCTAGGTTCTGTATTTTCTTAGGTTTAAAACCTATGCTGAAATAATGATTTATGTGTGTTCTAAGATCAAATTAATCTTATAAATATGTTATATGTAATGAGCCATACCAACTTCTAAGCTGTGAACGCTGCCTAAACCCAAAGTAGCTAGCTTCTGCCAAATAGACCCAGAAGTCCAAAACAGATGGAATAGTCCTAAAGTTCCCATTTCCAAGGCCCATAACAATTTATTCAAATGGGTTAAATATAAAAATTTTGAATCCTTTTTTGAATATGTCAATTTTTTAAATTTAATTTCGATACTAAATTTAAAAGAAATTGAGAAAAATTAAACAGTCTAGTTAATTAAAATGTTAAAAATGATATGAAAAAATTTAAATGTTTTTCATGAATCGATATACAAAAAATATTTATTAAAAATATTTAAATAATTTTATAAACAATTATGACAAAAAAAAATATTTTAGAATTACTTTGATTTCAATCTTTAAGACTTTTTGTCTAACTCAGATTTGAAATCAGTCACTAATAATTTCAAAACAACAAGTGGAGCAAAAGAATTTCCTCCATGATAACATCAACAGGATGAATCCAATAGCAACCTCCCAAAAAATACCATTAGTCTAATTC